TTTTTTTGGGGGGGGGGAGGTTAATTTGTTTTGGATGTATAGCGGTTTATATGAAGAGAAAGGTGATTATACAACCATATAACTTGCAGCTGAGATAGTGGTTCGACTCTTCACTTTTAATTAGCTTTGGGAATATGACTATTTCTATTTTGACATGGTCGTTTTGGGACAGTTTATAAGGAATGCTTTCGGATGGAAGGAAGACCACTATTAAATTCATATATCAAACAAGAAAACAAGAATAAGAGTTTTTTTTTTTGTAATAAAGAGGAGTTTAAATTAGATAATGATAGAATGATCGAAGATATCAATGTGGCTTAACAACTCTCACATTACTCTAGATTGTTTTCATGATATTAAATGGAATCAAATGATCACGATAAATTCAAAATTTCTCTTTTAAGGATAAATTTATTTGATAAATTGAATGGATGTATCTCCCCATTTTTAACAAAAATGTGATCATATTTATAAAAATCCTCCAAATCTGAACCTAAATAGGGGTGTGGTATGTTATAGCATTTGAATGCTATTTCGTTTTCTTTTGATACACACTCAATTTAGAATCCAAAATAAGAGTTCACTCAACAAAGTAGTTAGTTTATTATTTTTTTTATTTTGTCTAAAATTATAAATTGATTTAATTTGCACTCTCTTTTGGTTTCTCTTTTATGCTTTTTTTTGGAGGGGGGTTAATTTGTTTTGGATGTATAACAGTTTATATAAAGATAAAGGTGATTATACAACTCTATAACTTGCAACTGAGATAGTGGTTCGACTCTTCACTTTTAATTAGCTTTTGGAGGACGACTATTTCTGTTTTGACATGATCGTTTTGGGACAATCTATAAGGAATGCTTTCCGATGGAAGGAACTTTGCATAAATCAAACAAGAAAACAATAAGAGGAGTTTAAATTTATTTTTTTGGTAATGAAGAGGAATTTAAATTAGAGAATGATCCAAGATATTTGAACTTACATTTTCCATTTGTGTTATTTTTTCAATATCAATTGTTAGGTAGTATTGCTGAGTCATTTTTCGTTATGCTCACTTGCTAACTTAATAGCTTTGATTGATTATTGTTCATATAATGATTATAACGCTAAAGTTGGATTATAAATTCATAGTGAATTTAGTCATTATTATTGTTGTCGAGTTGTTTTTGTGTATTATTTTTTTTTTAGTATTTGGAAATCAATTATTATTTTTTTAAATCACTTCAATTCAAATATGTTATTTTGACTAGCTAGGGGTGTTCATTATATGGTTTAAATCACAAAACTGAACCAAACCAAACCAAATTTGTGGTTTGTTTTGGTTTATACCTATAAATGGTTTGGTTCGATTTGAGAATTTTTTAAATTACATAGTTTTGGTTTGGTTTATTGAATATTGAACCAAACCGTAAGCCATAAACCAAAATTATATATATAATATGAATATATGATATATAAATATTATATATAATATATATAAATGGGATATGTAAAACTATAAATATATAATGAACTCTTTATTTGATAATAAAATAATAAATAAAATTTTACAAGTTTTAGTTTTTAGGGGAGTTATTTGGGCTTTCTAATTGGGTTAAGCCCAAGAGAACATAGAATGGTCCAAAGTCTCCAAACCGTATTAGAAATTGCACCAAACTGTAATAAAACGGTTTGGTTTCCATACCAAACGGTTCGGTTGGATTTAGAAATTTCTAAAACCGTAATTTACCGGTTTTGCATGAAAATTTCTCCAAATCACTATTAACCGGACCATGAACACCCTAATTTTGACAACATAAACATACACGTGCAACGCACGTGCACCCCCACTAGTCTTACCCATTTATAAAAATGAAAAAAGGGATGAATCGTCAACACACCCTGATTTTCGATTTCCAAGATTACCCTTTTAAACACACCCTTCATTCCTTTTTAACATGTCCTTGTTATTTGTTTGTTCCAAATATTCCAACATATGGTATGAGAAGATCTGAACCACAACTGACGAACATGTAGCACTTTTTGCATGTTAKCACTTTTTCAACACTTGGCAAAAATGAAATGCAAAGTGTTCTTTGCTTTGAATTCGATTGCAGTGATCATGTGAGAGGGCGAGCAATGGCAAGAGGAGTCAAACAATTTTGGTTTTCTAGGTCTTGTTTTGTACTCCATTGGTGGTCGATTGACACAAATCAAATGCCATTAATATTATTACAACACACTTCAACAATTGTTAGTTGGGTAGGACGAATGAAACCCATTGTCTTCAAGCATTACCTGATAAGTTCATGTTTTATTTATCATGTATGTTCTTGTAAAGCTTTTCAAAGATTGTTGCAAATCTATTATAAGAGAATATCATCCAATGATTTATTTGATCAAATGCAGGGCCCAATCAACCAATACAAGCAATTTATATGTATAATACAGAAAGAAACAAGCATGACATGTTTATCAATCTGAACTTTTATTGTTGTAATACATGCACTAGGTGGAAAGTYTGAAAAATCAGCAAACCGACTATTTCTCTTATAACTCTCCTACTTGACTAATGAAAAGCATAGCTCTTCACAGTCGTCACATGCCTCATAAGCATGTAGATAACATCATGGGATATCATTGCAACCTCTAATTCCAAGTGTTGAATTTTAGCCTTAGTCTCTTGCTCAAGGCGTTTTACATTAGCACCTGAATCTCCACCACTCTATTTGGTGATCAATTAGAGGGGGGGGGGGGGAAGAGAGAGAGAGAGAGAGATTGATTGAACCCTCTCTCCAATCCCCCAACAATTGAAATTCCTTCATGATATAACATAATAAAATTGTTGAATCCCCAACACATATTGAACCTAAACAACCCAATTATGTATTTACTTAAATCTAATACAGAACCCACAGGTCTAAGATATCAAGTATAGTACAGATATACAATATGAAGATAAATCCTGAAATGTTAAGGACTTGCTATTTGACATAAAACGTGGATCTTGATGGAGCACGATGGCATKATAGGATTTGTGTAGCTAACCCCCAATAGTTGTGATTAAGATTGAGTCAAGTTGTCTGCATGACCCAGGAATCTTGAACTAGTTAAAGTTTTGGACAAAGTTGTGAAACAAACTTTTTGAAAAGATTGTAACGAGGTCCCATGACTTAAACTCAATTAGAATGATCAAACCTTGCCTTGATATAGGAAATGAATCACTAAACCATTTGTCAATCATGGAACTTAGCCTCTAAAAGTTGAGTTAAGTGCCCAATTTTTCCTCTTTTTTTTGATAGTAGCTTGAAATGGATATGGAGTAAATATAAGGTATACATAACTAACCAAGGTTGTGCTTTCAAGTTAAAACTATTGGATTAAAACTTATGACTTCGGGGTTTGATACAAGACAATAAGTTGAATATTTGTAATACAAAAAAAAAATAAAATATTGTGTCGAACATTGTATATTGGTTTAGCATGGGACTGGAGATCCTTTTTCTGAAGGCTCCGTTTGCTTTTCGATAAGTTACTTACTTGGTTAAATGCATTTACCCAAGTAAGTGTTTCCCATGAAAGACTTACCCGAGTAAGTGTATTTACCCATATTATTTTATTTCCTATGCAAATAAGGCAATGGCCATTTTAGCCATAAAAATCCAATACTAAAAGAGGCAATTTTGTCCCATTCAAGTGTTGACAACTTCCCCCCAAATAGGAAAATTATTTACCCACCTAGGAGATGGGTATCACTTACTAGTAATATCTAGGAAAAAAAATTTTCTCTAATCCACACATAAATATGAAAAAAAAACATGGGTTTCTTGGTAAATGAGAATCAAAAACCCATTGACCAACTTTCTCCCTTTCAAAATCCAAAAAAAGAAGTRTCATCCAATGGTATGGTTTTAAGCTAAAAGATAAACATAGGTAGAATGTGTTCCATTCCCAAAGAGGATGCTTTAATGTCCCTAAAATATTAAAAGACATTTTGCCATATTAACATCCAATTCAAATATTAGATAACACCAAAGATGCTTTATTTATCTAATTAAGATATCGGGTATCATGAAGATATTATCTTTTTACTATTTGTTCATTTCGGTTGGCATCACGATCAATTACACTTCTATTTATCTTTTGAATACCTAAATTGGATAGTTCCGTTTATCAAATCTTCCATTACGTTGATAACTTTACTTCCATTCCTTGGATTTTTTTGTTCGTTTTTTTTTTTTTTTCTTCTGATGTCATGGTCCAATCTCTGATTTCGACTTTATGATTTTTAGGACACATCTTCGTTTTAATGTTAAGCATCTTCTGATTATTTTGTAGTATTTGTGGGATAATATTGTCTTTTATGTAAAATAGCAGAAACTCTTGGATTGACAGCTGCTAAGGTGTGCAATCGTTGCTATCACTGCCATAATTGCTGGTGAGCGCTTTTTAATTTTTTGCATTAAGAATTGTTGTTTGTATCCTTTCAATTAGAACRAACTAAAATATCATAAAAACTGAATTTTGAAAGTTAAGCTTAGAACTGTGCCAAATGTTTTGAAGAAATATATCACGCAATTGGTATATATTTTTTTTAAAGGAAACATATCACATAATTGTTACAGTTTTCATTTTCTTTTGAACATACAATCTGAAGATTCACATGGTTCACAAAAGTTCTTCTGCAAGGATTTCGCTTACTGGAATTACCGACAAATATAGTAGCCATGATCCTTTCATATACATATACATGGTAGTTTGTTGAGATTTTCTTAATGCACGGGCCATTTTAATAGTTTATATAAATAAGAGTAACACTCAAAAGTCAAAATAGGGAGAAAACTAAAAAGGAATTATGCTCGAATATTCCACACGTACTCCCCACGCCACACGAGCCGAAAAGAGGCAAATTGTCGCACGAGCTTCTCACGCTGATAAAATGAATGGGGCATTATCGTCAACACAGTAAATTACGCGAGAACAAATTGATTCCAGATTCCTAACATCCCGTATAAATGACGCGAAGGAAGTGGCCATGTTAACCTACTCGCGTTTCTTGCACCGGTGTCGGACAGGGAGAGATCGAGGGAGAGCCCCAGATTTCTCGCTTCCGAGCTTTTTCATCTCTCACCCTTCCTTTAGTCCCCCTTCTCACACGCATAGCAAACAAAAGCCTTCTCTTCTCTCAACCTCCTCATTCCCTCATCTCCAGTCCATCAAACCCTAACCCTAAATGGCACTCTCCGACAACAATTGTCAATCTCTGATCCCGAGCTTCCTCTACTCAACTTCATCATTAGCATCGCCATCTTCGAAGAAAACCCTAGATTTCATCAGCAAAAACCCTAACTTGCTATTGCCTTCAGCAAATGGAGTCTCATCGAAGAGGAGTTTTGTGATTCCATCTCCGAGCGAGCCGAGGAAGATCGAGATGTACTCGCCGGCTTTCTACGCCGCCTGTACCGCCGGTGGAATTTTGAGCTGTGGTCTCACGCACATGGCCGTCACTCCCCTTGATCTCGTCAAATGTAATATGCAGGTATCATTGCAATCTGAGTCGATCTATTGTTTCATTATTTGTTTCTGGGTTCTGCTTTTGGATTCCATTTGATCTGAAAGTTTTATTGCTAGATCCGTCATTGTCATGGGATTTTGGTTTACCTTTGACCATTCGATGTTATTCTAGAGCTTCTCATTCCTGTACATTGTTTTAATATTAATTCGAGTTTTACGTGCATCAATATAGGATTTGCTTTCAATTTCTTTTTGTCTGAACTTCATCACTTTTGGAGTGGTTTGGTTGTGTTTTTCCTTCACGTTTACTATTTGAGATGTTCATATTGGATTTTGTGTGTTAATTTTGAAGGTTTGTTTTGTGGTCTTTTCAAACAATTTCGTTTAGTCTCGTGAACTTTCAATTTATTAACATTTGAATATTTTTGAGCGGTGTTTTTATCATTTGACTTAAATGATGCCACCTGAATTTTTCACCCATTATTAACACTCTTGATTTGTTTTTCTTGATAATTGATAGCTACGAACGAGGAAACAAAAAAGCAATACCTTATTTTTTGTCATTGCTTTTATTTTGGGCATTGTCATGGGTCTTTTCAAACAATTTCGTTTAGTCTCGTGAACTTTCAATTTATTAACATTTGAACATTTTTGAGCGGTGTTTTTATCATTTGACTTAAGTGATGCCACCTGAATGTTTCACGCACTATTAGCACTCTTGATTTGTTTTTCTTGATAATTGATAGCTACGAACGAGGAAACAAAAAATCAATACCTTATTTTTTGTCATTGCTTTTATTTTGGGCATTCTTCTTTGTTTTCTCTCATTTCTATTTACTGGAGAATATGAAACGTTGAAGAGATTTGTTCAATTCCTCAGATCGATCCTGCAAAGTACAAGAGCATCTCCTCTGGATTCGGGGTTTTGCTTAGGGAGCAGGGATTTAAAGGTTTCTTCAGGGGCTGGGTGCCAACACTGCTCGGTTATAGTGCTCAGGGTGCCTGTAAGTTTGGATTCTACGAGTTCTTTAAGAAATACTACTCAGACATTGCTGGACCCGAGTATGCTGCCAAGTACAAGACCTTGATCTACCTCGCTGGTTCTGCATCTGCCGAGGTCATTGCTGACGTTGCACTTTGCCCCATGGAAGCTGTCAAGGTCCGTGTCCAAACTCAACCTGGGTTTGCCAGAGGGTTAGGTGACGGGTTTCCCAGATTTGTCAAATCTGAAGGTGCCCTTGGGTACGTCCGTCTATTGTTTATGCTTTCACTTTCTCTTTCTACAATGCATTTTATTATTGTAATGGTACCGTTTTCTTATTCTATGAAACCTTACAGGTTGTATAAGGGAATTGTTCCTCTTTGGGGGCGTCAGATTCCATGTAAGTTGAATATTTTCCATCATTTGTTCCTCAATTTATTTCTACAGTAGACAGAAATGTTATTCTTTTGGTGGGGAGTTAAGTCTTTTTACCTCCCCTTTGTACCTAAGCTTCACATAGTTTCATATCATTAATAAAGGTTCTTGTTATTGATAAAAAAAAGAAATGTTATTCTATTGCCTGACATCCGAACCTCTTCCGTCATAAAATATGGAAACTCTTAATCTCTTTGTATGAATTGTTAAATCTTTATGGCATCGGTGACCAACATTCTATTTATGTTAGAGTCTGACCGTCTTACATATACTAGGTCAGTGAATTAAGTTGAGCTAGGGGTATGTTAGAGTTTGGGACTTTTAAGAAAGTTCACTGCCAAATTTTGCCTTTTTAGATTTCCTTTCAAAAATTCCATTTTCTTGATCTGAATTCAAAGTTGCCATTATTTACTAGGAAAAGTTACAAGACAGAAGAGCCTCTCTCTCTCTCTCTCTCTCTCTCCTGTATTTTCCATTTTTTGGTTTTCTCATTTTCGTCTGATTAATTTGCAAATGAAGATAGTTGTGCTGCATTTTTAATTTATATTTCTTATTATCCTTTTCCTCTTAATTAGTTTTATACCATCATACTGTCATTGGCCCTATTTTCATCCCCCCTCTGTTTGCGCCCCATACAAAATGCTTTATGGAACTGCTTCCTGTCAGTATCTAGCACAGTTTGGTGCCAAAATCTTATGGGTCATAATTACAAATGTTTATATATTACTTATAACACAGTTGTCTATGTCAGCTTACTTTACATTGCTTCTCAACCCCCTTGGATTTTTTGTTGTTTTTTGGATTAAAAATTAAAATCAAACATGGGGCTATTTAAATTTACCCACAATCAATTCGGTTCACAAAATCAAATGTCAGCATCTTTTAACACCAGATCGTGCATTGCATGAGTGCATGGGTCTCTTCTAGTAAGATTTTGGCTTTCTTTTTAATTTACAATATATGCTATTTTTTTACCCACAGTCACTTTCCTTTCTTTTTAATTTACAATATATGCTATTTTTTTCTCATGGTAATCATTTTTGGGTTATTTTCCATGCAGATTTTATCAATTTATCTTATGTTGCCTAATTTTTAATCTCTAGATCTACATGCTATTCGTTATTTACTTGAGAAAATGCTGATACATTTCTGATACACCTTCATAATATTCTTTACCTTTTTGTAACGTAATGCAGTCATATTGTATTTCTCCATTTTTATATACAAGATATTGTAACCGGGAGTTGTAATTGATGGAAAATCTGGCACATTGTGATATTGGTTCTTTCAATCTGGCATTTTGGTGAATCTCAAGTTAATGAGGTAACAATAGTGGGGACTTTGGATATTGACAAGTGGCCAAGGGAACTAGGATTGATGGAAAACTTTCTTTCCTTTTTTTGGCTTCTTGGTTTCTACTTGAATTGCATTTAGTGGTCTTAATTTCTATAAGTTTCTTGGTGGTAAGGATGGTATTTGTTTCTGCAGATACCATGATGAAATTTGCATCTTTTGAGAACATCGTGCAGCTTATCTACAAACATGCTATTCCTACCCCAAAGGACCAATGTAGCAAGACTTTGCAGCTAGGTGTTAGCTTTGCTGGAGGCTATATTGCTGGTGTTTTTTGTGCTATTGTTTCGCACCCTGCTGACAATCTTGTGTCTTACCTTAATAACGCCAAGGGAGCTACTGTTGGTGATGTGAGTAATGTGGTGCCACCATTTTCTAGTATTCCTATCCCTCAATTTCTTCTCTTTATTATCTTATTTTAATTATGTGTCCTGCAGGCTGTGAAGAAGTTAGGGTTATGGGGTCTTTTCACCCGTGGTCTTCCACTTCGTATTGTCATGATTGGTACACTCACGGGAGCTCAGTGGGGTATTTATGATGCATTCAAAGTTTTTGTTGGACTGTAAGTTCCTTTTTCATTGAAATCGTTAGGTTCTATATTGTGCTGTTTACAGAATTGGTTCCCCTTTTCTTTCTATTTCTCTTGTAAATTGAATTGACAGTTGGGTTTTGTTTCAATATCCAGGCCTACCACCGGAGGTGTTGCCCCTGCTGCCCCCCCTGCTTCTGCTGAACTGGCAAAGATGTAAAACGTTGGCTGGTGATTAATGAACAACAGAATGCTGCTGCTTTTTTTTTTTGGTTTAGAGTCGGGAGAGTGGAAGGCTTATAGACGGAGGAGGGAGGACCAATAACTAGGTTGCTGACCCTGCAGGTGGTGAGCGTGTATTCTTTTTCGGTTCAGAGGACTGTTAATCTTGAATCGTTGATTATTTTGAATTTTTGGAAGGATGGTTTTGATTACATCCTTCAAACTCCATTTTAGGCTTTAAGAAGGTTGAGCAATGAGTACAATGGCCCTCAATAGAAGAGTGGGGCTCGATAATAATGGACGGATGGGGGCGGGGGAAAGGATTGGAAGTTTTATCTGTCCATCTATACATTAATCATTTCATCTCGAAATATATTTCCATTTCGTATGCAGGTCTTGTTATCCTGCGGTCGTGCCACCCCTTTTCAGTGGGTGCACGTGCTATAAATATATCTTCACCCCTTTTCAGTTATCTTATATCTATGGATTCTTTTTCGGTCTCACCGCTTGATACAACCGATAAAAAAGAAGTATCTTCAGCCGATACAGGGACATGCTCGAATATCATGAGTAACCCGTTGATAATAATTCGACAAACATCAGGAAAAGATCACTGAACAAATGAAATTAAAAACGCAAATTGTATCATAATGCACTGCGACGCAAATTAATAAATCATGTTATGGAACGAAAGGACATGATCAGATTTACCAAAAGGGAAAATTTCTAATAGTTACCCTATTCTTTAGGCCGAGTGCCTTTAAAATGTGATAATTTAGTATTCCAACTCTCCAAATGTGACAATTTAGTATTTGCTGTTAATCAACCATTAAGTGTCATGAGGAAAGATACAAAATGCCCTTCCAAGTGTCATCTAATTTTCTTTATCAACCATCTGTTAATAAGTGATTCCATTCTATGTGTTTCATTACTGGTTGATAAAGCAACATCTGTATAATAAATGCCCTTCAAGTTAAATGCATCTCAGTACTCATCAGTCTTTGAAGGGAAATCTGGGGGTCATTCACTAATAAACAAAGTGGTGTGGGTCATTAGCTCGGAGGTTGGAGGCCGTCCAAGCTGGTTCAACTGAATGTGTATTTTCCCATGCACAGTTCCTTGACCACAAGCATTTGTTATCACAACTAAGGTTCAAAGTATTGATACGATACGCATATCGGCCGTATCATATCGGTACTTAGAAACGGTCGAAACTCTTTTTTTTCAAATTTTGATTTTTTGGGAAGCTAAAAACATGGTTTTTTATTATTAAAAAAAAGTTGGGGTTCCAAAATAGGCGTTTCAGAGTGTATCTTTTTCTAATTATACGATACGAAATGCCCGACACGGGGCGTATCGTATCGATACTTTGAACCATTATCACAACACTCTGAAGCATCGGATGGTTGGCGACAGGTGGTGCCTTGCAGAGGCAACAATCAAGCACGTAATCGTCCAACCAATCCTCAATTTCAGTTTACCATACAAAATGAGCCATGGGAGGTCTCTTCACCTCCCATCGATGCTGAAGACATTGAACAATCATTCCTACCTCCTTTCTTAATACATGTAAGATTCGTTTTCTGAAAAGAAGTGGCTCCCAGTGTAGCGAGCTGTCGAACTCAACCCTCCATTTCAGCAACAACCCATCATCACCACCACCATGGCCGCCGGATGGCCGGAGTCGTCAGAGAGTTGTATTTGAAGGGCCTGAATCTCATTGAATCTCGAAGAGACTTCGAGATCATTCTGTATAGCAAGAACTTGGCCAAACCTATAGCTAAGCTGTTGCCATGAGATTCAGAAGAATCACAATCATCAGCATCAACGGTGAGGGAGTTGAAGCACTTGCAGACGGCGAGGCAGCAGTCGAGTGTCTTGGCATCTTGAATTTTGTTGAAGATGAGACATAAGAGTGAGTCATGTAGACGGTCGATGTGATGGTTTGGACTATTGAGAGCTTGGGCTCTGTTTCAAGAAGATGATGAACAATGTGTTTTATTTTCAAGGGTAATTTTGACATTTTCAAAAGTCTTAAATCACAAATGAGGTCACGTGATATACATAACTGACTGTCCATTAACGATAGGTTGAAATTCGGGCACTAGATTGTTGCATTTTAAAGTTCAGATACTAAATTGACACTCGGCCTAAAGTATAGGGTACCAATCGGGAATTTTCCCTTACCAAAAAAAAGGACATGGTCTCGTGATAGGCCTGGAGCCAAAGCAAGTTGACTAGTTGAGCAGAGCTTGGCARAAAAGCTCACCAACATTATATGTACAGCTTATTTTCTTTTTTGCATGGTACAATACTTGAGCATATGGCTAAAACGCCAATACTAGTTCATGAAATAGTTGCACAATTCATTACCATTAGTGGAGTTGTAAAGAGACTGTAGATTTTTTTTTTTTTTTTTTGTAAAGAAAAATAAAACTAAATTATATTCATGAAAGAGGTTACATTGAACCCATGTAGGGGAAGCTGAAAAAGATCTACTCCCCTATTACACACTTTAGAAGCTATTTCATGAACTAGTAAATTTCTGTCTTATTTATAAAGAACCAAAAGGGGTTACACAAGATGGGATAGCACTTCCCACAAGATGGGTTAAAAAAGACATTCAGACGGGGATCTAAGATCTTCATTTACAATCCAATTGGCCGCTTGGTTGGCTTCCCTGAAGACGTGTCTTTACTGCACTCCATTCTTGAACCAGTCCTTTATCTCTAGGCAGTCTTGGATGATATTTTTCAATCTCCATGGTGAGATGACTTGACCCTTGACGCATGAAATAATAAGGCGGGAATCTCCCTCAATGGTAATAGGAAACTCTGAAAAAATTTGCTGCCAAATTATGTACTTCCCAAGCAGTCCATACTTCAGCTGCATTGATGGTGGAGAAACCGAGGGAGCAACCTTTGTAATCAACTATTTTACCTAAACGATTTCTCGATTCTCGCAATTGCCGCGATAGAACATAGACCATTTTTTGAACATGAAGCATCGAAATTTATTTTTATGGTTCTGGGGTCAGGGGAACTCCACTTGATATGCTTCCACTTCTTATTATCCTTTGCCATTTTAATGCACACTTGGTTGTCCCAAAATTCATTAAAAGCTTTAATTGCCCTATCCAAAATTTCTTGAGGTAAAGAGTTGTTATTAAATGTTTTATAATTTCCATTCTTTCATAAATACCAAAATATTAACACACTTTTCCTTTAAATTTTCTCCTTCCATAACATCCCTCTTATGAATGCTAATCTACCAATCTAGAAAGGAAGAGTTGAGTTCATAGGGACCAACAATGTTAAGGTTGGCCAATAACCAAATCTGTTTGGCTATGTCACAATTTTTAAAAATGACTTAAATCTTCTTCCTCACCATAGAAGCTACAATAAGTGTCAAGGTTAAAACCTCTTCTCTTTAGAAAGGATTTTGGTGGAAGCTTATTTGAGACAAGGAGAAACACAAAAACTGAGTTTTGGGGGGCAATTCAGATTCCAGACTTTTGATAGCCAACTAAATCATTATCACTGTTTAAGTTTGAACTACATTTAAGTTTGTAAGCTGATTTCATCGTGAAATCCCCTTTGGGGTTAATTCTCCAAATCGTCCTGTCTTCTTTTGGCCTTGTTGGGATAAAAATAGACAGAATCATATCCCAGATATCAGTTGGAACTAAGTTTGTCAATTTGTAATTAATCCACACCTTTCTATCATGATCAATCACATCACTCATAGGAAGGCTCTCATCATCAATTTACTGTAGAGATTATTTCAGCAAGAGTGGAGTCACTCCACCATCTATCACTCCAAAATTTTATATCCTTCCCATTTTCAATCTCCCACCCAATACCCTTTTTGAGTAGCTCTCTAGCACTAAGGCTTCCTCTCCAGGCCCAAGAGATATCTTTTTTCTCTTTGGCACTCCAGAAACTTTCTTTTGTAAGGTATTTACTCCTAACCACTTTGACCCAAAGATTACCCTCTTTTAAAATTTTCCTCCCCAACTTTGCAAGGCTTACTTCATTTACCAATTGGAGGTTTTTGAGACCTAAACTGCCCCAAATCTTTGGTTTACAAACTCTCTCCCAAGTTAACAAATGGAGGGGCTTTTTCTCACTAGAGTTAGACGAGAGAAAGTTTCATTGGGATTTCTCTAAATCTTCAATGAGATTTTGGGAGAGCTTAAAGAACCTCATTAAGTATTGTGGCATCATATTAGTTGTAGAATTGAGAAGAGTAATTCTTCTAGCTAAAGAGAGGGTAATTTTTTTCGAACTGTTAAGTTTGGTACTGACCCTATCCTAGGGATGGCAATTTCCCCCATCCCCAACTTCCCCGATCCAATGGGCTGGGGGATGGGGACTAAGGTTCTCACCTCGTCTTGACCTCGATATATATATATATATATATATATATAATTTAAACATTTTATTTATTTTAAATAAATTTAATTTTCAAAAAATAATGTAATCTAAAAAAAAAATTTTGGGGATTTGGGTCCTGGTTGGGGATCAGGGATAGAGGGATAATTTTATCCCCAATGGGGATTGGAGTCGAGGATGAGGGTTAATTTCATAATTGTGGTCGGGGATGGGGAACATGATTCCGACCCTGAACCCGCCCCGTTGCCATTCCTACCCTATCCTTGACAAACATGAAAGTGTTTTTAGTAACTCTAGAGTTAATTAAAGGTACCCCCAAGTAGAGGTTTGGTTTTGTTTGGATTGGAATTTTCATAATTTTTGTTAGGATTTTCATAATTAACAAGACATTTAGCTATGATCTTGTAAATCAAATTGCAGCAATTTTTTTATCTAAGGTGGGAGATATTTTTAATCTTCCTTCTCTTTTTTGGCGAATAAAAGAACCAAATTTGCACGATTCATTTCTCAAGGAATCTCGCCAGTATTATAAATTATAAAAGTGCACCATCGGATCATAAACATCTTCCCCTGCTATGTGCCAGAATTTTTGAAAAAAATGAGGGTACAGTACTCATCTAGTCCTTGAGCAAGATCAAATTTTTAATACGAGTATTGTATCTACATAGAGGTGTGTATTGGTACTGGCGTATTACTAGTAGTTCTATCTGAAATCCAGTTAGCGGGGAGGCTTTCAGTTCCTTATATAAGTTCAGTCTCCTCACTCGTTACCATCTCAATTCTCAAATGAGAAAAGCTGTATCTCAATTCTCAAGAGGCAATTCTTCAATTGAAAGTATATTCCCTTCTACATCCCCACCTAATAATAACTCATTTGATGACGATCTCCTTCCGCATTAGCTCATCCCTTGACAGCCATTTTTCATTTGTAATTACCATTTTCGAAGGGCAAAAAAATTCTTTGCAAGTGCAACAGGCATCCAAGGGCAAGACATAGAAGGAGAAAACAGAAAAACTGAACATTTTTTAATGGATCAAGTGGCTAAACGATGCAGAAAACTGGTAGAGCAAATTAATAGG